TATTAGTAAAACTTGTACTCAATGGTATCATAACCATGCGATGCCAAGGACACGATGTTCGTAGATACCAGTTTCAATAAAGACATCTTCCTTTGAAATACAAAAACTTGATTTGTAGCTCACATGTTGAAGTAACATTGTCTTCACTGTTACTGTCTTTGATAAAAGCGATCTTATCTTGTAAAGTTAGCTCGTGTCAAGACATTGCACTCACAATAAGCCAGTACGCAACCTTTTCTCTCTGTCTCTGTCATTTTTGTCAGACATTCGTGTAATGTTCTTTCGCTTCTCGTTTTTGTTATACGAAAGAAGAAAACAGATAGGACTAGAGATAGAACCGATAGTGATCGTCAAAAACCCAGACCGATTTTATCTTTGGATAGAATCATTCTTCAAATTTAATATTCCTTACAATTTCAATGCTCCTACTGGTAGATTCCCCATTTGAAACAGAAATAAAACAGAAAAAAAAATGCAACTGGCATTGGTCGACAGATGATATGAAAGCTAGAATCATTTTCGCAGTACTTCTTCAACAAGCTGATTTATTTGAAATAAAATTGACTGCGAATATAGTGTACGCTTATTGAAATAATAGAACAAGCAAAGTAGGTGATCGATAGAGCCAATTGGCTCTAGATGTAAAAATTTCTTGTTCGCCTGGTCTGGATCCGAGTCTAGAAATTTTCTATTGATCGGATTCGGGCTCGGGACTGATCCAGCAGGTCCCACTTAAAAAATAACAACCAATTATGGCTTGATTTTTATAAGATCACCGTCAAGATTGCTGGAGAAATATGTAGCGTGCACTAGTCACCGAATACAAGTAACCGAAAAAAAGAATCTGGCATCTTCGGAGCGACTATCAGATTCAGACACGGTGGAAAGTCAGGCGAACTTATACGAAAGTGTTCTTTTCCAAAATCTAACCATTTGGATAAATACATATATATGTGATCTATCATTTTTTAAAACCGCACTTCTCAAAGTCCTACAGAACCTTAGAAAAGGACATACCAAAACTTAAGCCCATAAAATCACATAAATAGAGAAAGTCTATCCGCTCGGCAATATGAAACAATATTGCACAAGCAAACAATGTCATAAAAGCTTTCTCATTGATAGGTCTTATGTTAAAAAAATGATCCAAATTGAGTTTAACATAGAGTAGGAAACAAAGGATTTCGAGCCCCAAACCCTATCTACAAACATACCGTTCCGTTTATTGTAAACGCTACAAAGAAATAATGTCCGATCTAGCGCGCATTTTTACCAAATGCTTTTACATATGTATCCTGCTTATGGTAGTAGCGCAAACTCATGTAACCTTTCCTAGGCTATTTTACAGGATGCCACAAAAGCCGAAGTCTCTGGTAGGAAATTCGGCTTTAGGCATCCGTGTTATACTTTGAAGAAAAATCAAGGTGGTATTCGGAATCAGCTCGTCAAGCTGCATCGAACCGCGTATATATAATAGTTTTTCAAGAAATTTTCGGCTCACTTTTAACGATAAACCGAGCCCAAAATCACACCCTCTCGTATATTCTAAACGGTGTGAAGGGATAACGCCCGATCAATCTCAAATTTTTACCAGATGCTCCTACATATGTATCCTACTTGTGGTAGTAGCGTAAACTCATGAAACCTTTCCTAGGCTATTTTACAGGATGTCGAAAAACCCAAGGTTTCTGATCGGAAATCCGATTGTAGACATCTGTGTTAAACTTTGAAGAGAAACTAAAGTTATATTCGGAACTAGCGTAGTAAAATACGTCGATAATATAAAGCTCAACATGTTTTTCAAAAAAAATTCTTTTCAAAAAAATCTTTTATTATCTTAAAGACGATTTTCTGAGTGGTATGCCTATTTCTAAGCAAATGAAAGCCATTTCTGAGCAAGAAGACCGTATATCCGCCTGCTTTTGCTAAAGCTTCCCACTGTGTGCGATCAAAAAATTCTGTTGAACTTAAGAGTAAGATTCGGATCTGGGTATGGGTCTGGATTCATAAAAGTTTAATGAACCGGGTTCGGTCTCGGATCCTAGTTCGGGCTCAAAAATGTTGGATCCAATGGGCTCTAGTGAACGATAGCAGCTGTGTATAGAATGATTTCAAAGCCAACAAACTTGTAAACAACAGACTAGTACATCAGCCAGTATAACATCGAAAATCTCTATGACTCATGGTCTGAACAGATATGTAAAAGCATAAATTAATCTATGCAATAAGAGCCGAACTAAAATGCCTGCTGTCCAAGGGGAAAAAAGCAGACGTCTGTACTTCTCTGTACTTCCCTGTACTTCTCTGCGCTTCATTGTACTTCATTGTACTTCGTTGTACTTCGTTGTACTTCTCCGTACTTCTCCGTACTTCAGAATACTTCTGTGCAAATATAGTTCAAAAATTTTAGTCTCAAAAACAGAACAAAAATGTTCTATTATTGGGAACAGAATTTTTGACATTTCTCAATAACAGAACACTTTTGTTCTGTTTGCAAGAAAAATGAGGAGACAAAAGGTATTTCTTCCGTACTTCATTGTACTTCGTTGTACTTCTCTGTACTTCTTCGTACTTCTTTGTACTTCATTGTACTTCGTTGTACTTCTCTGTACTTCTTCGTACTTCTCTGTGCTTCTTTGTACTTCTTTGTACTTCTCCGCACTTCTCTGTACTTCTTTGTACTTCTCCATACTTCTGTACTTCAGAAGTACGAAGTTCTGCTCCCCCCCCCCTTGCTGCTGTCTCTAACCGGGAGGCGTCCAAGGTCAGAAGTTCTTTTCGAGCAAAAGCATTGTGTCATACCTAGTTGTGTCCTACATATACTTATACTCACTTCGAACAAGATTCACAACCAAAAGTTTTACTATATCTTATATATTTCTAATTACTCTTCATCAAAGAGTAGTATTATGACAACTGAATTCTTTGGAAAGATATTTTATGTTATAGTATAGAAGAAACTTCTTGCAGTTACAGAGCAGAACAAGTTACAAGTTATAAAAAAAGCAGGTCATGGCAGGTCAAAATGACAATTGTGAACTGTAAAGCAGGTCAGGGCAGAGTAAGATCATCATGATTATTACAGGGTCGGTTATATGTTGCCAAATACTGTGTTCTGTAGGTCTCTATTTCTGTTTTTACAGAAACCCCTTTTCTAATGGAAAAAAAGAATCACAACAAAACTGTGATCATCGAGTAAGTTGATGCAATTCATCAAACAGGGCTCACAGATATGTGATTGTTTTTATCTTCTATTTTTCAGTGTCGATGATTCAAAAGAATGCAGTAATATGTCCTTTGATTGCAATACGGGTATAGTGCAGGATACTACTAAACACTTACTTGAAGAATATTATATTCTTACCGCGGAAATATCAGAAAGTGTAGAATTATAAATACTGAAATGTAACATAATAAACAGTATAGATATTGCATTTAAATGAAATCCTTAATATGCACATGAACCTATTCTAGGAACCCTAGCGCACATTTTTAAAGATTGCTCTGTATTGTCATAAATCCACGTTGACAAACTCCTCAACTCAAACGAGAAAAGCGTCCTGACCGCTATGACAAACCCTTCGACGTTTCATGATCGATCTTTGAAGTCTTAAGTGTTTCCTAATCTCCTTCTTATTTTTATAGTACAGGCCGACTATTTGTCAATACCAGTTCTATCTATGTTCGACGCAATTGAAACGAGAAATACGATTCTATTGAATAGATCAATAGACATACTTTTTTTCTTTCTATACTCAGATCTTCTATAGAGAACATACTCTAAAACAATTTGTCGATATAATACTCATTCTAATGTATGAAATAAATATAGAACGACTGACGAAAAATATTGACGAGCAACAAAAATGATTATAATAATGAAAAACAAAATGTCTTCTGTTGTTTCAAACAATTACCTTCACATATTTATTAACAAAAGAACGCGTGTATTGTGAGATGAAAAATTGAAAATACCTGACTGCTTTCTTGCGTGAGAGAATAAAAATACTTTTTTCTCTTTCACTCTCGGCACCTTCTGTATGGAATAAATTTCTTTTTTGACGATGAATAGAAACGTTCGACACTCCAACGCTTATTTTTGTATAATCAACGATAGAATGAAAAAAGTAACACTTCTATGCTGAGAGCAACACTGCACTCACTTGGAGGTATTTTTAGCAAGCAAAGTACATGAAGAAGTCTCATTGAGTGACATGGAATATTACTGTACACAAGTC